AAAAAAAAAAAAAAAAATTTGCTAGTATGTTTCTTTAAAATTGTAATTCAAAAGCAGGAGGCAATTCTTTTCTGAAAAGGGTCAGAGAGTAAATATTTTAAGTTTTGTAGAAAAAGAAGCAAGGTTGAGGATATTGAATAGATTCTTATGAAACAAGAGAGAAAATAAATTTGCACAATTTTTACTAATAAAATTCAAAACATAAAATGCTTATCTGTAAAATCATTCTAGGTTTCCCGGCCACACAAAACATTCCAGCCAGCCATACTTACTTTGTCATCCTTTGCTGTAAATATTAAGATTCCTTGAGAAACAAGTTTAAAACACTAACACCACAAAACCCTTGTACTGAAAGTTCAGTACTTATCCCCATGTCCAAGTAAGGAGCAAGGAAGAGGACAAGTGGTTTGAGGAAAAGTAAAGAGAAGTTTACTAATTTGCCAGCAAATGAGAAGGATGGTAGAACTCTCCTCTTAAAGGGCCACGGTCCTAACCGCAGTATAAGAAACTCAGCACTTTTAAAGGGAATTTTCAGCTTTGGATTATAGCTGTTTAACTACAGCATCTTTGGTGAAAACAACCATGACTTATGCCCAGACAACCCCTCTGAGCCATCTCCTGTGGTACTCTTCCCCCCTCCCAAAATAAATTAATTAAAAAGAACACTCCCTCCCCTTGGATTAATAGTTGGGCAGGAATGCAGGTTAAGATTCTCAAAAAAGGGCAACAGTAAAAAATGTTTCCCATAAAACATTTTACCCTTTTTCAAGCGTTAACTCTGTTACAACCTTAATTTCCAAACGTCTACTTGCAAATAGCTAAAATCAACATGGATATAAAAATCTTCAAACTTCTCAACATAAACCACCTAATCTTTAACAACTATTTCTACAAAGCAACTTGTTCTCCCTTGACTCTTAGCTAAAGGCTAAGTATAAACCAAGATAACTAAACACTGATGGGAAATCTAATCTTTAAAATCTTACAATTTTTATCAGAAACCAGGGCAGTGGAAAATAATCAGGATCCAACAATTGAGGACGGTAAATGAAACAATAGTAAGGTAAATAAGAGGAAAGCTAGGAGTTTATCAAACATGCGGAATATGGAGCTAATCCACTAAGATTTCATTCATGAAATGTGTCTTGAACACTTTTAGCAATATTAATTTGTAGTGAATGTTTAGTTTTCAAAATTTACTCTCAATAACAACTTTACCTGATTTTAACCATTAATTTAAAACTACGTAACTTTCACCCTGATGAATGCTTTTGCAAAAATTAAGAATAACCTCTTTTTCAATAAATTTTGTATCTCAGCCTCACTGACAAAGGCTCTATACCTTTATGGTAGAAAGACGAGCCTGAGTCCTACAATGGCCAAATTAAATACTCATTCTTGTTCCTAATAATAAATAAAGATATCAAACTTTAATGTTAAGAGAAGATATTACATGTTCATAGTATCTTCTCAGGAAAGATAAAATTAACAACTGTAGTTTTCTTATATATCCTTATTTTATTTAAATTATGTAAAATCACAAACTGACTAAACAAGATACATAAACCAAACAACAGGAGGAAATAGGCTGCCAAATATAATTACTAAAATCTAAACACACTCTTTCTTACACATTTTTCATGGGAGTCCAAGGGATTTTACAAAAGTAATGACTTATAATATTTCTGGGAGAATGAGATAGATCTACTGATTTTTATACTTTAAGAAATATTAGATTTCTGATCTAACCACTTTAAGCTATTTTACAAAAGCATTTTGATTTGACAAGTCTCCTTTGCCCTAGTATTATGAATTAATATAGCAATGAAAGTTTTTAAAATAAAAAAAAGAAACTAAAAAGGTGTGAGCAACTTAAAGTATGGAAGTGAATGCTGGCTACAAGTCCTCATTACCCATTTACTTATGATAGCCCTCAACATATTTTAACTGAAACTAGTGGTCAACAAAGGGTAGAGAACAGGCAGAAACAAGTATGTGTGTTTTGGAAATCTTCCTAGGTTTTTTAGTAACTCCATATCTGGAGAGTGTTCAGAACCACTTCTCCACATATTTAACACAAAAATTCTAAAAATAAATATACATAAGAATTCTATCTGCACAATTCCATGTCAGTGTTGGTATAAAACTCCCAGTTACTCTTAATAAATTTTTATTTCCTCTTATTTCAAAGGTGATACATTTTTCTTTAAATCACATTTTAAGTGGGAAGTCATAGAATTTTAGAGTTGAGTGGCACTTTAGAGATCCTCTACTATAAATCTTTAGTTCTTAAGGAAAAGATTTGGACTTTTAAGATAATTAAAAATTATGGTCTCAAAATTATGCCTAAGATCCCAAACTACAGTGACGGAGCTGGGATTTCATTTCCAAGGTCCAAACTCTTCAATGCCCTGTTAATTTAAGCTGCAGCAGACCTGAAATAAGAATTTCACATGAGAGGCTGGGCACAGTTGGCTCATGCCTATAATCCTAGCTAGGCCCATTTGAGCTCAGGAGTTGAGACCAAACTGAGCAAAGCAAGACCCTGTCTCTGCTCAAACAGAAAAATTAGCAGGGCATGGTGGCTGAACTTGTAGTCCCAACTGCTCAGAAGGCTGAGACAGGAGAACTGCTTGAACCCTGGAGTTTGACAAAGCTGTGAGCTAGGCAAGGGAGTGAGACACTGTTTGCAAAAAAAAAAAAAAAAAAAACTTACACATGAGAACTATTTAAGAAATTTCCAATTCATCTACTGTTTAGTATGAAGAACTTTATTTCAAACTCAATAGTTTTAAAGTTAAAAGAAGTTGATTTCTGATAATTTAATAAATTCTCATTCACATAAAATTCCAAATTATTGCTACTTTCATCTTAACATCTTGAGAAGTTTAAATAAAATGACTCAATTTTCTAATGTTATTTTCTTCTATTTTGCTAACATTACATTAAAGACCTTAGTGCAGTGTGAAAGCTTAAAGCTGGGAATTAAGACATCTGGGTTTCTTTCTCATTTCTACAACACTCAATTAATGTACTGTCAAATCTCTCTCTTTTTCTCATCTGCTAATTAGAGATCATGATAACTTAGTGCCAGACATCTTAACTATGTTGCTTCTTAATCTCTTATCTTAGAAGATACACATTATTCTACCTACTCTACAGATAGGGAAACTGAGGCTCAAATAGATTAAGAAACTATGAGTTAATTAACTAAAAACTTAGTTAATGGCTGAGCTAGAAATTAAACCCAGCTCTGCTTGACTCCTAGAGCCCATGTTCTTCGCATGACACCACTATATGCTCACATCCAGATGGGACGTGTGGTCCTAGTGCAGTAAGGAGGACAAGATACACCTGCAAGACCATTAGGGAGATACAGACGATAAAATAAAATAGATGCAGACACTTTCACTAGCTATTTAACCGAAAACGAATTTTTAGTCAAAGATTTTGAAACTAGGCATGGTACAGATACTAATACTGTTGTTAACAATGCTGACGTAAGAAGGAATCAAAAGAACGTGGTACCAGTTTCCGTCCTTTCAAACACATAAATACCCTCAGATAGACAAGAAAGAAGACGATCAGATGCTTAATACTGGTTGACATTCTGTCAACCCATCTTCACCACTGAAGATGAATGATGATACCGCGATTGCTGCTCTGGCAGACTCTAAATGGTTCCCCAGTACAAGTTTTTCTGTCATTTTTCATGTAAGCAAAAAGGTGAGTAAAATTAGTATCAGTACAAGGTTTGGAAGACAGTGCACACTGTGTGTAGTCGCTGGCTCTTTTTGTACAGTTTTAAAATCTACAAAAGCAGGAGAGGTGAAGTCTAAAAGCAAAACCAGAAATGAAATTTCAGGTTACCTTTTACCCATATCATGCCCTACAACTAAAACATCTAATAGCTCCAAATGAACGTCGTAATCGTGCACATTCATGACCCAGTAATTTATGACAGTTTCTTTACATAAAAATCAATACTTTCATGACTCTAGGTCCTTTTCCCAATAATGGGCAAGGTGTTAATTCCTGTGTCCTGGGATAATCCCCACACAGGTAATGACACTCTGTGCTTCCGAGTTACGTCTACGTTTTCTCCACTTCTCTTTTCACGTCGTCGAACAACTCCCTAATCCGCACGGAACCACACAAACCGCCCGTGGAAGAAGTGTTTTCCACCCGACTCCCCTCGGTATTAAGCATTCATTCCGTCTCTTAACTGTAAATCGTAAGCAGAAGGAAGAGAGGACAAAATTACAAATTCAGGAAACCCGCGGAGAGAGAAAAACCACACAGAGAGAACGCTGCGAAGGTGGGGGGCGCAGGGATGGAGAGAGGGGACCTCACCACCACCACCACTAAGTCGCCCTCCGGGAGCGGGGCCGGAGTGGGGCGGGCGCAGAAGACCCCGCGGCTGGGCGACGCCAACCCTCACTGCCGTCCCCTCCGCTCACCTCGATCTCGCGGATGTTATTGGAGGTAACGAAGATGCCGATGCCAATGGGGATGAAGATGAGGCCGATGATGAAGAAGGTGGGGAGCACCGTGCCCGCCGTGAGGATGGGCTGCCAGGCGGGAAGCCGTTGCTGTTTGAAGGCCGTGTTATCCGGTCTCCGCGTCTTAGCGGTGCTCCCGGGAGCGCACGGGGGCCCGCCGTCCACCTCATCCTTCGCGTTATAATTCATCGCCATCGACAACCGGGGCGCGGCTCCGAGACGCGCAGGTGGACCGCCCAGGGAACCCGCCTGCCGACCCCGACCGGAGACGCGCAGGCGCCGCCACCGCCGCCGTCCCAGCCGCCACAGCCACCTCCGCTGTGGAGACGGAAGAGGCGGGACCCTCTTCCGCCAAGGGCCCCTGACCGGAAGCGAGAGCCGGCCGCGGACGCCAGAGGGACGGAAAGAGGAAGGAGAGAGCACACCCAGGGGCAGGGGGAGGGGAAAGGGGAGAACGATGGAAAGGGGAGGGAAAAGGCGGACGCACCCTGATCATCTGCCCTGTGACGACAAGGTGAGTGGCCCCTGGAGCGTGAGGCTACGTTGGCGCATGCGCGGCCCTGGAGCGCGGGCTTGGCGCCTGCGCCATGGGAGCGTCTGGGCTGCTTGGGTCGCCGCCTGAGTTTGCGTCCCCGGCTGGTTGTCCCGGCCTCGGGTCTAGGTCGCCGACCCTGCCTCAGCCACCGTGGTTAGTCCTGGAGCTGCCGACGAAGAGGTCTAACACTCTGGTGATTGGTGCCAGACAGGTTTTCCTCTTTACCTCGACGCCGTCTCTGAAGGAAAGGGAGCGGTAAAAGGCTGTATCAGGGTGGCTTGAATTTGGCAGGGTTGGTAGTATTTGCTTGGGTTATAAAGCCGCGACGTTCTCTTATTAAAATAAATAAATTATTACCCAAGATAGAAATATGTGTAAGTTTTAAGACGCATGACGGACAGCCGTTTTATCCTAACGTCAAGAACCAATAATAGGAATTAGTTAACCCTATTGTGTCTAATTGAGATGTTACCACTTATTTTTCATCTGTGAATCGTCTCACGTGACTTTTTCTCTTTGCAGTGTCCGCATTTCACTTTCGCACGTTGATTTAGGAAGTCTTGTGTGATAAGCTTGTACCATTCTCTTTTACTCTTAGTAATTAAGAACACACAGAACTGTTTACAACTGCCAAATACTGTAATGACCCAAGCACATATATTAAAAAGTCATTAAATCAGGATACAACAGTTGTACAGAAACTACAGAAATATATAGAGCCCAAATAAACCTCCATTAACTGACTTTTTGCTTCTTTGCACTTTGCTGTATTTTCCGAAGTTTCAACAATAAGCATATATATATATCATTTGTAAAATTTAAATGGTTATATACAATCCACATTCTACTAACATCTTTGATATGCAGACCAAAGAGTAAATCACATCATCTGAAAAGTAATACCCAAACTTTTTTTAAAGACTTTGTCTGCTTGGTCCTAGTAATTGATAATTAAATGTTTTTTTCAAAATGACAAGTCTCAAGAGTATGAGCTAATCCCATGTGTACCTGGCAGTTTTTGGAGGAATACTTGGCGCTGTCTAATAACTGACTTGCTTGGCTTTGCCCTTAGGTAACATCATCTCTCAAATTCTTAGCAGTGCTAACATGCTTAAGTCTGTATTTTCATCTGTTATGTTTACTTTTAACCCTAAGGTTGAATAATAAAAGAGACAAGGGTTAACCAGTCTGCCCTATGAACAAACAGAACTGGAAAAGGCAGTCTTAGTAAAACGGAGTCTTTCCTTTTACTAAGTTCTGTTAATAAAAAGGTATATCAGAATATGGGGCATAATTCAGAAGTACTGAAGAAAGCTTTGACCTTTTTCTCTTGCCCAGATTCTTTTCTAAGAGACCTGGTGAGCGACACCTTACAAACCATAAAAGCTCATTGAGTAGGTTTTGTACCGCTCAGTATTATGTGATTTACTTTCCAGCCTGACTCTGGAATTAGCATGACAGGAGATAGCAGATCCCCTCATCTTATTAACTCATGCGTTCCTTTCTGCTAACTCCAGCTCTTTAGGCTTAACTCTTTCAACCACCTGCCAGCTAAAGACTCCCTAAAACCCACCTGTGACTTGAAAGCCCTACTTGGAGATGTCCTGGCTTTCTAGGCTGAACCAATGTATACCTTCCAGGTGTTGATTTGTGATTTTACCTGTAATTCCTGTCTCCATGAATATATAAACTCGAACTGTAGCTCAGAAGCATTTCTCAGGACCTCTTGAGACTATGCTCCCCAGGCCATGGTTGCATATGATACGGCTCAGAATAAACTTTAAACATTTTGGCAGAATTTGGTTTTTCTATCAGCTACATGTAAGGCAATTTGTTCTCCCCATTTCTGCCTATTTCATCACACCCACTTCATTGGATAGTTCCTTAATCGATTTGCTATTCCAGCATTCTGTATTAATGATCAATTATTTTGCTGTCAGGGGTTTTTGGTTTTTGTTGCTATTCTAGGGATCTGTATGATCACAATGTATGTATCTGGTTCCTTTTCCAGTTTTGTTTGTTCATAGGACAGATTGATAACTCCTTGTCTCTTTTATTAGAAATTCCATTTTGACTGAAACAGACTTACAGAACTAAAATCTTCCTTAGGTTCTCATCTAAAACTTACATTTTCAGATGAGGTCAAATGAGTGAAGTTGTTTTTTCAGATCTCTTGATATCTCTCCATTTCCTTTACCACTACCATACAATGCTACCACAATATGCTTCTCTCCCCAGAGAACACATTTTTTCATCTCTATATCATTATCTCAAAGGACTCAGAATTTTGTGATTTCCTTGGTCATACATTGTTTTATGATAGTCCTTACTTGGTAGTTGTTCATTTAATCTGCTAATGTAGGAATTTTTTAAGTGTCAGCATTTCTAGGGCAACAGAAGAGGATGGTTGTCCTCACAATGGGTTAACAGTAGATGCATTTTCAGACTGTGGTTGCTAAGAGTAACTAAGTCTGTGTATGTTTTCCTGGTACATTTAGATAACATTTGTATTTTCGAGTGGTTGTTCACTTACTGATTCCATAAAAGTGGAATTTATGTGACTAAATGACATTAATGTTGTCAGGTCAACATAATAAATATGCAGTAAATGCATGATCCCAAGTATAAAAGTACATCCAAAAGGAGAGGACACATGTAAACCCAACAATCTGAAAAGTGTATTTTTAGCATTTGGTGGGGAATTTTTATACAGTTTTCATTTTTAGATCAATTGCTGTGTCCTGCCACTGAACTAGGTAATTAGAAATATAGATGTAAAAAATACAGCATAACTATTGGGTACCTTCTGGAATGAGCAAGAGGAAAGTGAAACTAGTCTTTTTACTATTTGGCCAAAGTAGATTTGCTTCTAGGGCTCTTTTGATGTTAGGTGCTAGCTCCTAACCATATTCAAATCATTTCATTCACATCTGTGACTTACAGATGTTTAAGAAAGGGCTGAGAAATGTGTCAGTTTCTACCAACATGTATTTCAGAGGAAGTTCTTAGTGACTGGAAATGGTTCAAAATTGTTTCAAGTGACTAAGTTGTATTTTTGCTTATTTAAGAAGATTCCCCCCCCCCCATTCAGTATCTATGGCAGCTTATTTTCAGGAGAAAGAGTGATGCAGGATTTGTATAACAAATTTAATTTCTTGTATTTATCACATCAGAGACTGATTGATTATATTCATCACATCAGAAACTAATTTTGAAAAGTGACTTTTTAAAATTGATCTTTTTCTGATTTTTATTAGTACATTTATTGGACTCTGCAGTTAAATATTTAAGAAAATCCTTTTGTTCTCACATTGAGAGATTGTCATTAGCCTACAGTCACTGACGTAATGAAAGATTTTGTAAACTCTTAAGTAACCAGTCAGTAATCAAAAAATACAAGTCAAACAAGACAGTTTTAGTGTCAGTACAGGGAAGAGTATTGTCACCAAAATTCTTCAGTAGACAGCCTAACAATTCTGTTTTGGAAAGAAAAGAAATGAGTTCCATTTCTCATAATTCCACACTTCCTGTGAATGAAAGAATTTAATTCTAATGAGACTTCAGACATCATGACTTCCACTGCATAAACTGTCTCAGTTAACTACATCTCCATGGCACCTGTTTTTTCAATAGGTGCCATCAATTATAGATGAGGTCTTTTCTTCAAATATGATGTTGCTATCTCTAGGTCAGCCAACTGACATCTGTTACATGTATAACAGTGAAAGTAATTATTTTAAAAAGGGGTGTGGAATTGGGAAGAGGTTTAGCTTACTCCATGAGAAGTATCAAGAGATAGCCCAAAGTAGGCTCGGCCCAGTGACTCATGCCTATAACCCTGCACTCTGGGAAGCCAAAGTAGGATGCTTTCTTGAGGTCAAGAGTTCAAGATCAGCCTGAGCAAGAGTGAAACCCTGTCTCTACAAAAAAAAAGTGAAATTAGCCAGGCATGGTGGCTTGTGCCTATAGTCCCAGCTACTCAGGAGGCTGAGGCAGGAAGATCACTTGAGCCCAAGAGTTTGAGGTTGCTGTGAGCTGTCGCACCAGAGCACTCTAGTAGCGTGGGGTAAACAAAGTGAGACTCTGTCTCAAAAAAAAAAAAAAAAAAAGCAAAATTGAGCTTTTAAAAATGGTCATTCTTATAAATTATATGTTTTGGCTAATTTTAGATTTTTTTTTTTTTCAGTTTTTGGTCAGGGCTGGGTTTGAACCCGCCACCTCTGGCATATGACGCCGGCACCCTACCCCTTTGAGCCACAG